GTTTTATAACATATAAACAAAGCAAATTGCGAGAGGAATATCTTACCTTAGAAGAAATCAGAAAAGCCAAATTATCGATTATCAAGCATGTGCAACAAGAAGAGTTTACAGAAGAGATAAGAAGTCTCAAGGAAAAAGGCAAGATAAGCAGTAAAAGTAAACTTCTAAATCTCAATCCCTATTTAGACAGTAAGGGTCTTTTACGTGTGGGAGGGAGATTACGACACGCTTACATCCATGCTGATATGCAGCATCCCATAATCATACCGCACAAAGGACGACTAACAGATTTGATCATAGAAGAGGCTCAGCGACTAACCTTTCATGGCGGTGCTCGATTAACGTTGGTGTTCATAAGACAAAAATATTGGATTGTGAGCGGTAAAGACACCACTCAAAAACGGATACGTTTATGCTTAAAATGCAAAAAGATAAGTCCCCTTAAACAGCAACAGATCATGGGAGACTTACCCGAGGCAAGGTGTAATCCATCACGTCCGTTTGCCCACACTGGGGTAGACTTTACGGGACATATCCTGCTTAAAGCCAACAAGGGCCGTGGGATTAAGACAACCAAAGGTTACGTGGCCGTCTTCATTTGCCTGAGTACTAAAGCGGTACACTTAGAGCTAGCCTCAGACCTGAGTACCTCGACATTCATTGCAGCTTTAAGACGAATGGCTGCTCGCAGAGGAACGCCTACTCACATATACAGTGACAACGGTAGGAACTTTGTCGGTGCAAACAAATTATTGCAAGCAGAATATCATGACCTACAGCAAATATTCAACAAGGATTTTTTTGCTGAAGTCACAGAAATGGAAATCAGTTGGCATTTTAACGCGCCAATCTGGCCCTCAGCAGGTGGCCTGTGGGAATCGGCCGTTAAAAGCTTTAAATATCATTTTAAAAGAGTGATTGGTAAACAAAAGTTAACGTACGAAGAGTTGTCAACGGTATTAGCCCAAATCGAAGCGTGCCTGAATTCTAGACCTCTGTGCCCACTAACTGAAGATCCACAAGATTATGCATATCTGACACCGTCACACTTCTTGACTGGTGGATCAGCACTTACATTGGTTGAAACAGAAAGAGACTTGAGAACCAGATGGCAGCTGACTCAGAGAATTTTCAGTGACATTTGGAAACGATGGCGTTCTGAGTATCTAACACAATTAACAACACGTAGCAAATGGCGAAAGCCTCATGAAAATATCAAACTAAATGACGTAGTCCTTCTGCACGACGACAACCTACCAACGGGAAAATGGTCAATGGGTAGAGTGATAGAGCTGCATCCGGGTACAGACGGATATGTCCGGGTTGTTAGTCTAAAAACTAAAAACGGAGAACTCAAAAGACCCATCACAAAATTCAATTTTGCCAATTAACCCTTCCAAATCGGAGATATTTCAAAACGATAAAAAAGTTGTATCAGACACTACTCCTCCCCCACTCACAAGAGGAAGTTATAATATCGTATCACTGCTTACATCTTTAATATTTTTTATGACTATCATATCAACTGTACAAAGCAGTTTTTATTTTAATTTGGTCAAAAGCAAAGCCTTTATTTCGATAAATTATCCGATATGCAGATAATAAGGGACGATTGGAAATGAATTATTTACTACGACATGCAACCTTACTGGGAGGGAATAAAAGCTCTCAATAAATACTATACGTCTCTCGAACAAATGTGTAATACAATAAATCATACAATGAACTGCGATATTATATTACTACAATTGAATCAAGGTGTTGTTGAACTTGAATATTACAATCAGATGTTGCTCGGTCAGCATTCTAGCGCGCGACTGGACTCTCTGGCCAGGCAGCGACGCGGTCTTGTAGACGACATAGGATATCTCGCTAACAGTCTGTTCGGCGTATTAGATAGCCGATTCGCCGAACAATATCAAAAGGATATCAGGTTACTGCGTGACAACCAACGGCATATTTCGTCATACTGGCAGAATCACACATCTATTATCAAAACACAATATTTAACTGTGATTGTGCACAAAATGCAATCTAGTGAGTTGAACGTAAAACCTGAGGTATACGCTCCAGTAATACCTAATACCACCAATAAATCAGATTATCAACATCCCTATCCCACACTTAGTTCCACTGAACGAATCGGAAGTGGAAAGTTATGATAAAGAACTGTCTAACATCGGCGAGAAAATTAAAGTCATGAAAGATAATGCACATTTATCAGAAAGCATCTCGTATCATGACATACACCACTACACAGCGACCTACTGTATCGTCGGAATCGCAGGGATAGCCGGTTTGATGTTCGCGTGGCGACGAGTGCGCGCGTGGCGCGTACCGCCCGCGAGCGCGCCGACATCGGCGGATCAGCAGAGAAGTAGTGAGAGAGTGTTTTTCCATTGTGTTAGTGAAATAAACGACAGTGTTCCGTGTATCAGATCGAATCTGGCTTGTTCTAGGGCGCGTGTACTAAATAAAGCCTCGTCGCCCATTCTTGTTCATTAGTGCGCGCGATAAACTAAGGTGAACAATCAATAAAGTGAAAAAGTAACTAGGGACATTAAATGTTAATGTAATAATGTTCCATCCTTTTATATATTTACTTTAATATTTTTAATTTAGAAGTTATTTACTACAGATATTGAACTGCTAACATTGTTCTAGTTTATTTCATAAGCTATCATTTTACATAGTTATTTTCTCCTGTGTGGGAGCATGTACGAGCAAACCCGCACATTTGTAGTAGTTAATGAAATTAGCTTGCGTTCACTCATTTGTATTGCACTCGTATTACATAGGCACTTACTTTACATACATAATTTTTGTACATAATTTAGTAGCAATAAAATCATCATTCGGTAAAGTTTTCTACTCATTTATCAAACCAGCAATCTATCAGTAATGTTAGGGAAACTACCCCTACAGGAACGTCTTTTTTGAGAAGGGATGTTAAGGACTTTGCAAGCTTTGAGAAGTCGGGAATAAAACTTTTGTAATACGAAACTAGCCCTTTTTTTTTTTTTTTTTCCGTGCGGAAATCCCCTCGGATACCACCTTTTTTTTTTTTGTACTAATTAAATACTAATTGTACTAATAGCCGGGGAACCAGGTATACCCTAGAAAGGAAGTCCCTGGTGCCCCGATATACCTCGGGTCATCTACAGACGAGTAGACGACCCCCCCCCCCCCCCCGTGTGGGAACCCCATGTTCCCTGTGCTCCCTGGAAGCGAGCGCGCTTCGCAACGCGTTCGCCGCCACCCCGGCCTGCTTCTGCTAGGGTGACAGATGGCCTCACCTGTCACCCCCAGGCCTGCGCTTATGGAGGACGGAGGTCGTTCTGCGACCTCCGGCGCCTGAGTCGCCTGCGGTACCTGGCCCGTTCCCGGACCTGGCGGGCCGGGAGAGTCCTAAACCTCTCCCGGTAAACGAAACTAGCCCTAGGAAGGACTTAATGTCTCAAGGGGATTTAGGGACTGGATAATGTGTTACGGCCTTAACTTTATCCGGATTGGGTTTCACACCATATTGAGTAATGATATGGCCTGGATAGGTGACTTCTTTCCGTAGAAATTCGCACTTTCCGGCTGGAGTTTTAAATTGAATTCTCTGAGTCTTTCGAAGACATCTTTAAGGTTCAGAATGGCCTGTTTTAAATCGAAAACGTACAATACGATGTCGTCTAAGTAGACAAAGCACCGTGAGCCTTGAAGCCCAGTAAGACATGTATTCATAAGTTTCTGGAAAGTAGCTGGGGCATTCTTAAGCCCAAAAGGCATTCGATTAAATTGAAAATGACCCTGCGGGACTGAGAAAGCAGTTTTAGGTGCGTCTTCCGGCGCTACCTTAAGTTGGTGAAAACCGGATGATAGGTCAAGCGTGGTAAAGTACTGGCTCTTTCCTAACTGGTCAAGGATCTCAGTTATCTGAGGAATATGATAAACTTCTCCAATAGTGACATCGTTTAATTTGCGGTAGTCAATGACTATCCGCCATTTCCTTTGGTTAGATGCATCAGCTTTCTTGGGTACTACCCATATGGGGGAAGACCAAGGAGATGACGATGGAGTAATAATATGTTGGTCTAACATTTTGTTTATTTTTGTAGCCACTTCTTGTTTGTGGCATTCTGGAAATCGGTAAGATTTGGTGTGGATTGGTGTATCACTAGTTGTCTTTATTTTATGTTGGATGGCAGGTGAGAAAGATAATGTCTCATCTGGTAGGTGCAAAATGTCGGAGTAGTCGGAACATATGGTGAGAAGAGCCTCTCTTTCTTCTTGATTCAAGTGGGACGTTCTTAGTAAGCTGAGAACCCTGTCTGTGCGTTCAGTAACACAGACATTGTGAACACGCGCAGGTGATTGTATAGGGTATGATCCTATAGGATCTAATTTAAGGTTAAGATTTCGCTTGATTGGAATTGATTTGTGAGAGGTATTAATAACAGATATCGACGGCAAAGTGTCAATACCTACTAACTAACATTGACAAAATTTTACACAAAGCGAAAAAAACGTTTCGTTTCCTAAAATGTTAAAAATTAATTAATTTGTATGATTGCAGATTTTATTAAATTAAATGTACGATAGGAGATATTGGTTTTAAATAAAACCAATACGCCTTTAAGCTGTTGAAGGTGATTAAATTTCGTGGAAGCAATAGGGATCGGTGCTGAATGTAAGTTTGAATAATTTATTGACCTCAGGGTTTTGGGTCGTATCGGCGAATCTGTCCAATCATCGTCGAAGTTGATCTTATAGGAGATAGTACCTGCCGGATTATAACTTAGTCGCAGATATAAAGTCGCTGGGGACATGGATTTCTCTATTCTTCAGCTTCCTTTCGATTGCAGCATGCACTAAGTCACACTCCATTTGAGTGTGACCAGGTTTTAAATACTTTTGCGTTATATTCACGTTGTGTTCAATACTCATGTTTAACAATGCATTAGCCATTATGTTTTTCCTGTTCTGGTATGTACACCCATCGGAATAAATAACTATGTGCATGTGCTATATGCACCTTTAGGCAGACAATATCTTTCAAGATAGTCGATCACAAAAGATGCAAAAGTACTGGCAGTTAGATCCGCAGACGTTTCATCAAACCAATAACAGGAGGCTTGATGAGTAATTAGGTCGTATACGGTGAAATTGTGGCAGGTAAGCTGAGTCTTGAAATATAAGGCACTAGCGGTTAGATAAGGAGACACTTTAACCGCTTCCAGATCCATGGACAGCAAAATGAAATTTCCAGTAAGAGCTTGCTTCTTGTCATTTTCTTTTTCTAACCTCGCTCTATCTTTTCGTTTTATATGTTGCTCGTAATCACTTGTATTAATATTACCTACTGCATGCCCACTACAGACGTCGCACATGTCTTTTTTTAACGTGTACAAGGACAAGTTTTTATCCTTGGACAATTTCTCAAACGTGAAACGACATACTATTGGCTCGCCATTTTCAGCGCAGTATTCTTTGTGGTAACTGTATAAGTTACTAAGGGAACGAAATATTGGTTCTAAATAAAGCTTTGAGGAATCTTTGCATAGTGTGACGGTAATTTGGGAATGTCATTTAAGAATTTACCAGCGGCTGAAAATTTATGCTGACTTCCTGTTCTTGGCGTTCGGACTCTGGCCGTATTTTGAACTTCCTGGCTAGGGATTACTCCACAATGCGCCTTTTTAACCCAAGACTAAACTGTAAAGGAGCCTAGGCATAAAGTGTTTAAAAATGTTGTCAGACAAACCTGTAATTTTTTACCATCGGTGGCTGGCAAACTATACTCAAAAGTACCTTCACGTCGTGATTCTCCATCACTAGTTTTACGTGATGTTGTTTTACGAGTGACAAGACCATTAACGTAAACCTTGCGCTGATCCCAGTTCATAATCTGCCAAAAATTGTTATGAATCTCCAATCTTGTTTCTTCACTAAATTTGTCAACCTTACTCTTTTTGAAAAAAATCAGAATCACACCTCGATCTTAATCGTCTAGCAGGTCTCATTTTGTCTTGGTTTAACTTTCTGTTTTTAGGCTTTGTAAATCCTAAATATTCTTTGCCTGACATACGCAGTTTCTTGTTTTTGTTTTTCTTCCACTGGCTTGGGTCAGACCTCGATTTGCGTTTTCTACCTTCATCTATGTTGCCGTGAAATACACAGACCAGACATGATACCAGATGATGTAGATGGTTCCTCTAGAATATCTGGACTGGAACTATCTGAGAGTATCTCAACGTCTGTGGGGCAGTATGTGACGTCACTGTCTGTGCCGGAAAAATCACCATCATAGGAATCAGGCCCGTCACTTAACAGATTATAGGAATGTGCTCTTTCATTGTGGGTTGTGCTTGGCAGAAGGTACTGTACGGTAATTGTGGGAGGGACTGAAGAACAACGTCTTTGAGCAGCTGAATTTATCTTTGGCATGTTTGAAAGTGAGGACGATCTACCAATAATCCATATTTTTCCACGTACTTGACGAGGCTCAGTACGTTTTTCAAGTTCCTTTTCAAAAACTACGTGATTCGTAGCGCCTGTGAAAAAATATAATAATTAATTATACTCTACTCAAAAAACATCCATCTATTCTAATTACAATAAATTCAAGGAAAACACTTACATGAGGTAGTTACAGAACTTTTTTGGTTAGTATTCTCACTATCTGTATTTTCTTTCCCTCTCAGAATCTTAAGCATTACCAAGGTGTGCGAGCTGGTCTAATAAGACCAGCTCGCACACCTTGGTAATGCTTTGCCATTCGTGACATCCTGCAACATAAATAATAAAAAAAATACTCTAGCAATTTCTTCTAACTTCCTCCTATAGTGGAACAAAATGTGTGTTAATATATTCTATCTACAACAAAAACATTTGAAAATAAAATTGTCAGACTTTAAACATAAACTTTGTTATTTTTAAAGTTAAATAATATTGTTTTACCTTTTCCAATAACGCAATAACACTATTCACACCAAAAACACACTTTTTATTAATGTATCTGCGACACATTCAAAATCATTGCTTACCGGAACATGAACTGATCTCAACTAACTCGCAGTCTCGCACGACTGTTATGATTCACCCCCCCGGCCCCGCCGCCGCAACGCGTGCCCTCCGTCGTTTGCAAGCCGCCAACAAGTCAGTCAGTAATATATGGTCAGTATTATTCCGCGCTCGGATGTAGTCATGTTGCACGTAGATAGAAGATATTGCTTGATATTTATATATATATATATAAATCTTTACGCCAATTTGGTTAGAAGGTATTTCCACATTTATTTTTCTCCAGATATAATTACTAATATAGATAAGCGACTTCATCAAAATACGCGGAAGTCGACCTTAAATCAATAAAAAAGTCAATTTATCAAAAATTGTAAGATAGGAGTTATTGGCACTTCGCCGTCGATATATTAATCCTTTTATTCTCTTTTACCTTCACGAGGCAGTTAGCCACGAGTAGGGTGTTAGAAAGGTGTTGATCTAATACAAAGCCTTCCTTGACTTCTGGGTTTGGAACAGAACATTCTATCACGGTTTCGATGCGTATGCATTCGGGGTATGACGTAGCATGGATCAAAGAAATGGATTTTTAATTCGGTTTTATTTATTTTCAAGACGTCTCGGCTATAGTCAATATTACAACCATGAGCCGTCAGGAGGTCATTTCCATAATACCATCGTAAGGTAAATGGATGTCTTTGATGACGTGAAATTTGTGATTAATGAATCTCTTGTCAGAGATTTTAAATTTCAGGATGAAATGACCTAAGGTTTGAGTGGTTTCTTCGCCTGGATCAATACCCTTAATGCTAATAGACTTTTTGGTTAGGGTTGGCTGTAGTAGAACACGTGATTGTTTTAACAAACAAATTGCAGAGCCTGAGTCTACACGTAAAGTCAGTGGAATATTAGATGCAGTTGATTCCAGTAGCACATGAGGTAGTAGCCGCTTGGAAGTGTTAATGTTGACTTCGTAAATCTCATTGAGATCAGATGCCTTTGAGGCTTTAAGATTTTTTGGATCGAGGTTGCCGTTTCGGGGCTGGTTACCCGGATGTATAACCTCTTTGGGTGTTACTAATACCTTAGTAACTTTAGGATCGAGGTTGTCGTTTTGGGGCTGGTTACCCTGATGTATATATATAACCTCTTTGGGTGTTACTAACACTTTAGTAACTTTGGGATTGAGGTTGCCGTTTTGGGGCTGGTTACCCTGATGTATAACCTCTTTGGGTGTTACTAACACTTTAGTAACTTTAGAATTAAAGGGGTTTACCTTTTTAAGGTATGTGCCGTCTTTGAACTGGCGTCCTGAGCGGCACGGTTCCAGGACGTTTATTGGTTTAAATTTCATTTTGAGGATCTTAGCATTCCGATTCGTTAACGACGTCACAGTCGTTGTCGACAAAATTGATTTGCTTAGAATAAGAAGAGGGCCCAGAAGGTTTATTTTGGCCTTCGGGTGTGTATTGGAAAGCATAATAACCACAGTTTTACCATGATTAGCAGAGTTCGACTGAGACATCGGTTTTTGCTGGAATTTATTACTCGTATTAGGATTCTGACAGAAGAGTTTAGGCAAACCTAAACCGGGTTTGGTTATTATGTTTATCCTGTTGCGAGTTGCTATAGCTACTATCAGGTTTGTAGAGGGTTTCTTAGCTGCGCTCCTCGGAAATGGCAAGATTGACGGCTTCATTGAAAGTTTTTGGTGCCCTACACCTAACTATATTCGATATACGGGGATGTAGTCCCATGAGGAAGTGGTGGAGGGTCAGATCCTCAATTGCTGCAGTGCGACCTTGGAATTCTTTAGCTTTATGGCTGGAGAGTGATATTTCTGTGAGTAATTGAGATAGGCATGTCTCTACATTAGAGTTGGCCTTAATTTTCAATAGGTGCATTGAATGTGGTGTATTTCCTGATTTGATGAAATATAGTAAGATCATTCCCTTATTCAAGGCGGGTAGCACGTCTGATCCTACAAATTATAGACCAATTTCAGTGTTGCCTACTTTCAGTAAAATTTTTGAGAAGATTATACTGGATCAGCTATAAACTCACTTTAGTGCAAGCAAAATTCTACACAGGAAACAGTTTGGATTCAGAAGAGGTCGCTCGACAAGTGATGCCGGTGTTGAACTTTTATGAAAATATATTTAGTGCCTGGGAGGATAAACAGGATGCCCTGGGTGTTTTTTGTGATTTATATAAAGCATTCGACTGCGTTTTTATGAAACATTAATCAATTTTGGCGGTAGGTGTTAAAAAAGTAGACACACACTTGAAAGTCATAAAATCTTTTTTAATTTAATCTTTTACATTTTCTACAATTATACTGTAAATTTTAGTAAACAACAGTCTTACGGTATACAACTCACGTTTGCAACAGTGTATGTGGTAAATCCTAGGACTAGATTGGCACCACCTACCAGCCACACTACAAACAACATGCCGTAACTATCGAATAGTGAGGCCGCGCAGAGGACACTGGAGGAGAGCTTTACCAGGAGGATGGAGGAACTGGAGGCACACCTGCAATCAGCAGGCACCGCAAAGGACACTGTCGCCAGGGTAGCAGAAGAGTTCCGTACATTTAGAGAACTAATGTACAGCATGATGGGTCTTCTGCGGAGGCAGATTCATGAGTGTTTAAAGGCTGTAGATGCTGTGGAAACGAGACATCGACGCAAAGCTCTTCTCTTCATGGGAGTACCCGAGTCTGAAGGCGAGGACAGCAGTAAAATCATCATGGATATTATCCAAAACAAACTGCAACTGAAGAACCACTCTGTCGAATCTATCACCATCTGTCACAGGCTGGGGACATCCAACAATGAACATCACCGTCCCATCTTGGTGAGGTTCCTCAGCGCCGAGGTCAGGACCTCTGTCTGGAGAACGAAGGCTGCACTCAAAGGGTCATCAGTCTCAATACGGGAATTCCTCACCAAAACAAGGCAATCAGCGTTCACTAAAGCAACGCTTCACTTTGGCGCTCGCGCTTGTTGGACGCAGGACGGTGCAATAATCATCAAAGCACCTGATGGAGATCGCCACAAAATTACTTCTCATGAAGAACTATTGCCCTTAACAGCCAAGTATCCCGATGCTCCTGGTGTAGCGGCGTCTCAGGCACGAATTGGAGCCAAAAAGATGGACTCGCCTCGCTCACATAAGAACATTCCGGGCAAGGTATAATGTATTCGGCATCACACAAACGGTTTCATTTAACTAAGTCGTAACCTTGTATTCACGTAGCCCGCTGGCCGGTAATCACTAGCAATCAGGTAAACACAACTGTCCATATTGTTTTGTTATCAATTTGTTCACTAATTTACCCACAAAGTTTAAATTATTTTGTACGCGTTTTGTATTTTATTATAATGTTAGTTTCGATCGTAAACAAACGTGACACTGTCAAAGTGACATTTGGTTCAGCGAGATGCGTTTGGATATGTATGTATTTTGTCCTCATTTAACGTCTAACGTTTCGTTACACGCTTACTCTTTTATTTTTTTCTGTGCTGCTATCTTTAGTCTGTGTTAATCATGTGTTTTCTATTATTGTTTTTGTAACATGTAGTGTTCACTGGCGGGTGGTGCTGAGAAAACTTAAGCCGCTTAGTAAAGGGTGTTAATAGATTAGTATATAAATATTTTTAGATATCACAGTATATTTATATTTGTAAATATATTATTTATCTGTAGTGTATTCTCATAATTCATATATTTTCATAATATCGATGCAAGCTGATAAGGATGACTCTGATAATTCTGCCTATGAGTCTGCGGTTTCTACTGATGATGACAGTTTTGCTTCTTTACCTGACACATTAGGGGACCGCTTGCGAAACACACTCATCCAGCAATCGAAGCACCTGCTTAATGTGTGCCACATAAATGCCCAGAGCATACCTAGTCATTTTGGGGACTTGACTGAAGCTTTCGCTGATACAAATGACCACGCCGTCCTGATCTCGAAGAGTTGGCTTAAACCCAATCTTGCTTCTACATCTTATCCTCTCCCGGGCTACATTCTTGTCCGAAACGACCGAATCGGCAGGAGGGGCGGCGGGGTAGCCATTTACATTCACTGTTCTCTACCTTACAAAATTCTAGTTTCTTCTCCCGCCCCCTACTCTGCCGATGCAGAGTACCTTTTCCTCGAGGTCTGTATCAAAGGAACCAAAATGGTTATTGGTGTTGTTTATTGTCCTCCATCTATTGAATACTTCTCCAGTCTGGAAACAGTCCTGGAATCTTTAGGGTCAGAATACGCACATCATGTCATCATGGGAGATTTCAACACTAACCTTACCCAACAATCCTTACGTTCCAGTAAACTTCTTCAGATTGTCGAATCAGCCGGCATGCAAGTCTTACCTCTTCAACCAACTCACCATAATATACTGGCGAAAGATACATGGCTTGATTTGATCATTACGTCTGACCCAAAATTTGTCCGTAACCACGGTCAACTTCCTGCGCCTGGTTTTTCCAACCACGACCTCATTTTCCTTTCCTATGTTCTTAAACCTCCTAAACACCCTCCCAGAGTATTGCACAGGCGTTGTTTTGGTCGTTTGGATGTTGACAGACTACGTAGCGATGCCACCAAACTTAACTGGGATGTAGTAATCGCGGCTTCTAACCTGGACGAGAAAGTCGAAGCTTTTAATAGTGCAGTTATTAGCTTATACGATACTCATGCGCCTATAAGGAAAATTAAACTCAAGAGGCCACCTGCGCCGTGGACGACAAAGGAGATTCTCTTGGCTATGAGGCGAAGGGATAGGGCTTTCTGTAGACTTAGAAAGGGCCGCACAGATGAGAAGTGGAATCTGTACAAAAGTGTAAGGAACCGATGTAATCAGATGATACGCAATGCCAAACGCCGTTATATCCTTGACAACATTGCTCGTTCCTCCCCATCCCACACATGGAAGTTCCTTGGAACGCTAGGTGTTGGCAAACAGACACCTGCTAACCAGTCGGAGATAGTTGGTCTGGATAATATAAATCGTCATTTCTCCACGTCTACTCGTTTAGATCACCACACCAAGTATCTCACAGTCAATTACTTGGCGAGCCTAAATCCCCCTAACATTAACTCTTTTCAATTTGTTCCAGTTGCGCAGGATGAGATCAAAAAGATAATCCTCTCTCTCAAATCTAACGCTGTGGGCTTCGACCAAATTACAAGACGCATGATCACAACAATTCTCGATCAGCTTTTACCAGCAATCTCCTATATCATTAACTACCCCCTATACTCCAGAACTTTCCCCTCACTTTGGCGCAAAGTCTACATTATTCCATTACCTAAAATTGCAAATCCCACACTTCCTAACCACTTTAGACCTATATTAATTCTTCCCTTCCTATCCAAAATTATCGAAGCCTGTGTACATAAACAGCTCTCGGGTTTCATCTACAATTATGATTTATTAAGCCCATTTCAATCTGGTTTTAGGCCTGGCCACAGCACCACCACTGCCCTCCTCAAAGTGACTGGTGATATCAGGGTGGCTTTGGAAGATACAAAAGTGACTAGTCTTAGTCTTAATTCTGGTCGACTTTTCAAACGCGTTTAACACCGTCAGCCACGATATCTTCTTATCCATCCTCTCCTATCTTAAGATCTCGCCTGAAGCGCTGGAATGGTTTTCATCTTATCTTCAGGGACGCCAGCAGTCCGTTCGTGTCGACGATCTTTCATCGAGCTGGTGTGATGTCGGCTCTGGTGTTCCTCAAGGCGGTATACTTTCTCCTTTATTGTTCTCTGTGTTTATTAATCTCTTATCTCTTGAACTTCGTAAGGCGTATCATCTGTATGCTGACGACCTGCAACTGTATGCTCAAGCTAATGTTGATGACATACCAATAGCTATTGACGAGATCAACATAGATCTCAAAACCATCAAAAACTGGTCTGAAAGGTTTGGGTTATCGGTCAACCCGACTGTTCAGGCGCCTAATAGTAAACGCACCGCAATATATCTAGCAATTAAACGTTGCCTGTCATCTGTGTCACCAATATAGTCGGTAGCTTTAAGTTTAGTTTTAAATGTTCACTTGCACTACGACTCTGGAGCTTTTTACAAGGCAGTACACGCTCAGTCCATATATTTGCTGTTTTATTTCCGGAATCCGTGCTAATTCTTTACATGGTCCTTACCGAAGCCGGATTTATCTACAGTTATTAAGGATTAGCAGTTATTCCCGGAAATCAGGATATATTGAAGCTTTTTGGAAAATTTCAAGAAACGAGAAATATTAACGGCCACTGGATTGGGTATATTTAACAACGGTGTTAAGTTTATTTCTTCTGATATCGTCACCCAACACTCA